TTATTGGTATGTTGCCACGATAATGTTGACCATAAACAGACACAACCCTAATGCCAGTGTCGATTGTATTTGGCAATTTGACATATTTCACATTCGTTTATATAGGATTGAATTGAACTTTATAAATCTGGCCAATAATATTTTATTTTAATCGTTTGCATAGTCTCTTCTATTCCTCTGTGGTTAGTATCCGATTCATGATAATTTTTGATGATTTCTTGGATATCATCTTTTTCGGTTACATCGATGAGTTTATATAAACATCGTTTTAATTTTATTTAAAGTTTTTTCGTACTACTTCACAGAATGGTTCGTAAGTATCCGAATTTTCAAAATATAAATAATATTGCTTATCAGAGATGATATATTCTTTTACAAATGTGATTATATCATTTTCAAAATTACTTTTTGAAATTTGAACTGTAATTCTACGTTTTTGCCAAATAATATTGATTGCTTACGTTTTGTAGGTGAGTATAATACATCTTGAATAATAATTTGGTTTGCACCGTAGTTAACTGCAATTTCTGCAATTGGAATGCCAACAATAGGATTTTGTTCGTCATTTGAGTGTACGGTGATGTCGCTATCATCTGGTATCTTATTTTTATCGTCAGCTTGTGCCAGTGTAGAAAGTAGATCAAGGTTTACACTTTCTGGGTGTGAGTCACTGTTTCGAGAAGTGCTTGGCTGATTCATTTTTGAATTAGGTTGACCGGAAAGCATTGATTCAGCAACTTCAGTCACATACTCGTCAATGTTAAACCCCGTTTCCTTTGTATGTAGTTCGATGCGAAATAGGGCGTCGGCATTTGTGTTGAGCTTGCCTTTTTTTATAGATTATTTGATAATAAAATTATTCCAACTTAATTCTCCATCGCACTAGTTTTGAGCTTGGGTCTTTTAATGAAAACAAGCATTGTAAAGGTTTGTGGTCGGTAATGATATTGAATTTTCGGCCAAATAGATATGGTCTGAAGTGTTTGGTTGCCCAAACAAGACAAAGACATTCCTTTTCAATCGTTGAATATTTTTTTTCAAAGTCGCTAAAAGTTCTAGACGCATATGCAATAGGGAGGTTATGACCAATAGGTCCTTGACTTAGAATGCATCCAAGGGCGACGTTGCTGGCATTACAAGTGAGATTGAAGTCGGGGTATTGCAAAATTGGTTCGTTAATAAGTAGATTTTTACATCTTTCGAAACACGATAGAATATCTTCATTGTGGATTATTTTGGCACCTTTTTTCAAACATTTGATTAAGGGCTTGGTAATTTGGGCAAAGTTGTTGATAAATCGCCTATAGTAACCGAGAAGTCCTAAAAATCATTTGATTTGCTTGGTAGTTGGGTAATTTTTTACAACACTAATTTTGTCAAGATTGGGTTTTACTCCTTCTGGGGTAACGATGTGACCTAAGTAAACGACTTCTTTCTTAAGAAATTCTGACTTGTCGAGCTGAACTTTAAAATTTGCGTCTCTGAGTCGGTTGAAAACATCTGTAAGTTTTTCGTTGTGTTCTTGAAGAGTACTGAAAAATACGATAATATCATCAAGATAAACAGCACACTTTTCGTTTGTAATGCCGCGAAGGATATTGTCCATGCAGCGTTAGAATGTAGCAGGGGAATTTTTGGAGCCAATTGGCATTCGAAGAAATTCGTAATGGCCATTTTCAGTACTAAATGCCGTTTTCGGGATGTCCGATTCGTTCATTTCGATTTGATGGAACCCACTGGCTAAATGCAAGGTTGAGAAATATTGGCATTGGCAAGTCAATTACAACTCTCCATTTCTGTTTACCAGAAGCGTCCAGTTTTTTAGGGACGACCCAAATTGGAGAAG